CTCATTGTCCCCCAGAGGATGAATCCCAAAACCAAATACCTGCAAATTTAATAACATTCCTGTCAGCTGGACTGCCTGCTAGTTAAACACTACAAAGTCCTAAGAGCGTCACTGAACTTGTTTTGTTTTTTGGGGTTCTTGAAGACATTTCATTTCCTATCTAAAAAGGATTTTTCATTTCTAATTGTAAAGTGTGAGCATGCGAACAAGCTCAACTAATACAGTGAACATGGCAAATATTAAAGCAGCTAAATATCAGCATGTTAGTACTGACCCTGTGAACATTTTGGCATTTGCATTTAACTCAAAGCATTGCTGTGCCTAAGAACAGCCCCACATAGCTGCTAGCATGGCTAAAAATGAAGTGAAACGATTAAAAGCTAATGCAGTAAATCCATAAATAAAGTTGCAAAGCTGTAACTAAATATTTTTTTTGTCATTTTTGCCAGAAAAATGGCCCCAAATTATTATTTTCTGATATTTTAACGACCAATCTGTCAATCAGTTATGAAGATCAGGTACATCAGTTTCAGCCGCACATACATAACAACCATCATTTTCTCTGATAAGTTTTATTTTGTAAAAAATAATTCTTACACGTAAAATTTGTGTGATCAGTTTGCGTCTGTTGCAACGGTTTCCTCAGCGCAGACACAGGAGTCGAGAAACTCTGCCTCACGAGCACAGGCATGAATATTTTAGCATTGGGATAAATATTTCACTCTTTCAATGAGATGTGAGAAAAAGATACTCGGAGGGAAAGAGGATTGGATTACACACCAGCCCCGCATGAATAATGAGTGCAGAGATGAGAGGAGAACAAGCGCCTGGCCTGCCTTCATGTTAGAGACGGAGGAAGAAAAGGTGAAGTCACTGACAAAAAGGAGTATACAAAGGTCACGACCAACCTGAGTCTCTGACCTGCAGGGGGCTTTAGTTTTTTTTTGAGTAAAAATTTTCTGCTTGATTTTTTTTTTGTCAGTCCATTTCATATTTGGAGCCTCCCTGAGGACTTACCTTTTATGGTGAGGCGCCCCAGCTATTCATCCCTCTAATAATCCTGCTTGTCTTGTTCTTGGCACTGACACTCACAGGACCGCTTACACAACACTGACGAGGGTTGGTGGGGTTTTGTGTTTAGCATGTCATAAATATTTTGTAAATCTAAGTCCAATACACCCATTTACACGCGCACATGGTCTCGGTTTATAAAAATAGCAGTGAGCCAAGGCGAGGTTGCACTGGCAAGCACATAAAACAGACAGTGACCATGATTCTGTGGAAACACTACAGTGTGTCAGTCAAGTAAACAGTGGCTGGTGGTAAGAAATATTTTCCCACAAGTGACTGACGCTGACTTCATCAACCATGTTAATATTTAATAATGGAAAAAGAACCATACACACTGTACACACAAACACACACACTCTCCACCTGAGTCCTGCTCTGATCTGGTTCATTTGTGAGATGTCACAGGTGTCAGTTTATAGAAACATAATGCCCGGCTCATTTATTTTCACAGTTTAACAGGTTATAAATTAGCAGCACAGCTAAGGAAATCTCACACTCTCTCTGTGTCAGCTTCTCTAAAAAGTGTTTCTTTTGGATTTTCATCCACCTGCCTGCAGATCATCATGGATGTTTTTGTTTTTTTTCATGCCCCTTCATCTTGTCTCCCCATGTCCTCCAGCTCCTCCCTGTCCTCATACTCATAGTCCATCTGAGCCCTCTCGTACTCCAGCTCCTCTCCCTCATACTCGAACCCCTCTCCCTCACATATCAGCTCCTCCGTCTCATACTCAACCCCGTCTTCGTTGTATTCCAGCTCAGCTCCGCCATATTCCATGTACCCTCCCTCATCCTCCTTGTCTCCATCTCTAACATCTGCGCCCTCTATGGTCACCGCAGCTTCACTTGTTGCCTGCTTTGAGTTGGAGCCGCTGTTCTTAAGGATGCCGTGAATCACCGGCTCCTCTCCCGCCAGAGCCAGAGCCAGCTCCTCTGCCTCTCTCTCTGCGGCCTTCCGTCGTCTCTCTTTCCTGGCCTCGCGCTCCTCCAAAAACTCTGCAGCCCCTTCCCCGACCAGGAGCACCTCCTCGCCCACTTTGGGAGGTTCCTTCACTGGGTTGTGGTCGTAGGAGAAAAGGCGCAGGGCTTTGAGACGCTTCAGGCTGGGAAACTCTGTTATCTTGTTGCGGTCCAGGTCTAAGATCTCCAAAAACTCCATGCGCAGCAGGACTCTGGGGAAGGTCTCAAAGCGGTTGCCGTAGAGCCACAATCCCCTCAGAGACTCCATGCGCCAGAGGTCGGGAGGCAGCGTCTTCAGCCGGTTGTCCCCCATCTGCAGAGACTTGAGGTTGGGCAGGTCGTAGAGCTCGCGGGGAAATCTCAGGAAGTAGTTGCTCTCCACCCACAGGCAGCGCAGGTTCTGCAGGTTGGTCAGCTCCGGGGGGAGGCACAGCAGCCGGTTGCTGCCCAGGTAGAGACGGGTGAGGTTGGTGAGCTGGCAGACGGCCGGCGGAACGTCCTCCATCTTGTTGAAGTCGACGGCGAGTATCCGCAGACCCTCCAGCTGGGTGATGCTGTCCGGCAGCGTGCGCAGGCTGTTCCCACAAACGTAAAGCTTCTCCAGATGCAGCAGTCCACAAACACGCGAAGGCAGTCGCTTGAACTTCTTGTAGCTCAGGTCCAACACAGGATCTCCACTCTCAAACAACTCCTCCACGCCTAATGGAAGTTCTTCCTCCACCTCCTCTTCTTTCTTCTTCTCTATGATTTCTTCCTCCTCGCCATCCTTCGCCGCCGCATCCTCTTCTTCTCCTCCTCCTTCTTTACCTCCTCCTTCTTCTTCCCCCTCTTCCTTCCTGGAGGAGTTGCCCATCACTGTGGCCTGCGGCCCCTGACTCCTATGTGAGTCAGGACAGAGTCATTTGATGAGGCAGCGTCTGCGGCAAGTTAACCCTCAGCCTGGGAGCAGCTGTTGTTTCATGGTTGAACCCAGCGGATGCAAACAGCATCACGGTCCAGACTAATTAACACTGTTGCAGCCATGCCACCGCACTTTGTCAAGTGTCTCTTTGTGCCTTCATGTATTAAAAAAAAAACACTGGTGGTGGAGGATCTATGAAACTGTGGAGTAATAGTAATGATAGTAGTAGTAGTAATAGTAGTAGTAGTAGTAGTAATAGTAATAATAATAGTAATAGTACTGCAGGTAGTTGAACTCAACCAAGTGCAGCTGAATTTTGAGCAGAAATTGAATCCTTGCAGTCCTTACCCTCTCCTCAGACTTCCTCCAGGCTTTTAAGAGAAAGATAAGCTTTCAGGTCACCTGTTCACGTCATCCGGTCTCTCTCTATCAGAACAGGGAGGAAAAAAAAAAAAAAAAAAAGTGCCACTTTAGGGCACTAAATAGCCGGTTTGCTGCCCCTCTTCCTGCCGGGTGTCGCTGGATAAACCCACAGTGTTGCGCAGCTCGGTGACCTGGCCGGCGGCAAAGAAAAAAACAGTTAATGGAAGTGTGTCCACTAGTTAATGCCGCTGCTCCCCATTAGAGGCCGAGGTCTCCCGGAGTTATAATCCGCGCTGGAGAAAAAAAATAAATTGCACATATTGGAAAATTGCAGCCGCTGACTGACAAGAGTTCTGCGCGTAATGTTCGCTTCATCAGTTTACATTCAACTGCTGCCTCCCTCCCTCTGTAACAGGAACAGGGGGCATCACATCACATGGTCAGTGTGTGTGTGTGTGTGTGTGTGTGTGTGTGTGTGTGTTAGGAGAAGCCCATTTAAAAAAAAAAAAAAAAAAGCAACAGCAGCAGTAAAACTTTCTCTCCTCACTCCCCGCTGACTGACAAGGCAGCTTTCAACTGCAGCGTTTTTAGGGTTAAATATAAAAATAATAAGCTCCAATTTAACTCATTGTTTAATTTATATTCACATGGTTGTGTGCACTATTAGGCCTACACACACACCACACACACACTAATAACATGCACACACCATCACACAAGATATTTGGTGAATTATCTTGCATGCATCAATTATTGTTTTTATTTATTTATTTATTTATTTATTTACACCCATGTCTCACATTTGCAGATGGTCTCATACACTGACTTACAGACCAAAATTACAAATCTCATTTCTATTGTCCTGATAGGAAAAGGGTCCAATTTAGACAATTTTGCACAAAAACTTTTTCAGTTTTTCAACTTGTCTTAACTACTGATTGAATCCACAAACAAGCGAGGTGGTTAACCGACAGCAATCAAATAGTGTGACCAAAACACAGACGCTCCTTTGACCACTTTAAAATGCAGCTGTATACAAGTGACACGATGCCACGGATGACAAGAGAAAGATGAGAACAGGCAGTTGTCCTGCTGGGTGCTGGTATGTCAGTCAGGCCTGTAGCCAGGCACTTTGAATGTCCACAACTCAGCAATTTGTCATTTAAAAAATAGTTTCAGGCTGCATGACGCTCTGGATAAACACGTCAGACAACGTGATCCTGTCCCCCAAAATGTCCGCCAACTTCACCGAGTCCTTCAGGAAGGGCGAGACAAAGCTCCACCAGCCACATCAACAAGCTCATTAACTCAGTGCGTCACAGACATGTGACCTGTTGCTGACTTGTGATTTCTGGTCTGTGACCCCCCAGTCTCCATCTGCCCATTGTCGTTTCCTATATGGTGCGTTCTTGGTTGTTTCATGACGTCCTTTCTGTTGTAGAGATGCCGTGTGTTGGAACCACAAATACATGTTAAAAACAATGCATAGATACATTTACAAGTACAAAATTGAGGCATTTGCTCTTTAATTTTATGCATGTTTACTTCTACTACACAACATAAGGAAAATGTTACTTTTTATCCTACTTCACTGTTTGACAATTTGTAAAATGCTTTCACATGTAAACATAGGAGGAGTTTATGAAGTATGATGCTCTGTTTCTGACTGAACTGTACAGAAGGCCATTGGAAGATGTAAAAGGCTGGACTGACATCACAGCCTGCAACCTTTATATTGACAACCACCTCAAAGATAAGTCTCAAATTTAGTATGAATGTAAACAGGCAAGAGTAATGAATAGCAAAGGAATCGTATTTTCTGGGCGGCACAGTGAAACAGTGTCTTGCACTGTTGCCTCACAGCTACAAGGTCCTGGGTTAAGATCTTGGGTCTCTCTGTGTGGAGTTTGCATGTTCTCCCTGTGCAGCGTGGGTTCTCTGGCTGTCTCCCACAGTCCAAAGACATGCTGAGGTTAACTGGTGATTGTGCTGTGACTGTCCTTGGTTGTTTGTCTCTCTGTGTGGCCCTGTGACAGACTAGTGACCTGTCCTGGATGTACCCTGCCTTCGCTCTAAGTCAGCTGGGGACTCTGGCCCCCTCACGACCCGACAGGAGATTTATATATGTGTGTAGATAATGGATGGATAGTATTTGTCATTTACTGTCCATCTGCTGGTTTTACTGGAGGATAAGCCAAAAGTTATACGTAAACTTCTTGAAGAATGCTGTCCCACTGTATAAGTAATGTCATTACACTTCATTCCTGTTGTGTGACATTGTTTTACTGTTGTTGTACTGTCCTCAGTATGTTGTTTCACTTCACTGTCACTTGTTGTCACACCATATAACCAAGATCCAGTGTCAATGGAAATCTTTCTAGGTTGGCTTTACCACTAAATGGAGCTCACACATGACAACATACATATAAACAAGAATATTCCAGTATATAAAACTAACAGGAGCATTCATAGTGCATAATGACTAGTTTAATTTATGATATTTTGATTATATTTTGATGATGAATCTTGTATTATTTTACTGAAGTAACATTTTTAATGTAGAACGTTTACTCTCACAGATTATTATTAAACTAAGCTCTTGCTGCTCCTCTTAAATCAGAATCTGATTAAATCCAGGCAATGTGAATAATCATGCGTTACAGTTTTTCTCAGTCAATTTGGTACATTTCTGAAATCATCCTCGACATTTGCAAACCACTAAGTGTATTTCTCAAAGCAATTCGTACAAATAGCAAAACACCATGGATTACCTGCAAAAAGCAGTTACTTGCTCAAAATCCTTAGTTCATCTCTCAAAACTAAATGTCTGTGTCAATGAACATGTCAGTGCCATCAGAATGACAAGTCCTTTTATCAATGTGTACGGATAAGACAAACTGCTTAGTCATGTTGTCAATATCTGGGGGGACTGCCAACAGTGTACTCTGGAAGGATGTTCTGATGTAAATACTATGGCTGAAGTTTTGATGACAATTATTGTAAATTGTGAGTTACACCCCTTAGTGTACTGCAAGGCGGTGCAGTTGGTAGCACTGTTGCCTCACAGCAAGAAGGTCGCCGGTTCACGCACCGGAATCTTTCTGCGTGGAGTTTGCATGTTCTCCCCATGCAGTGTGGGTTCTCTCCAGGTTCTCCGGCTTCCTCCTCTCCAATTGTTGAGGTTAATTGGTGATTCTAAATTGTTCGTAGGTGTGAATGTGAGTGTGCTTGGTTGTCTGTCTCTAAGTGTAGCCCTGCGATAGACTGGCGACCTGTCCAGGGTGTCCCCTGCCTTCGGCCTAAGTAAGCTGGGATAGACTCCAGCCCCCCTGTGATCCAGGATTAAGCGGTGTATAGAAAATGGATGGATGGACCCCTTAGTGTATGTGGAAGATTGATTGCAAGAGACTGGACACGATTCACATTTGGGCTTTTACTGCTTGTACTGCAATTTGTTGACAGACCATGTCATTGTGATACAGGAAGGAAAAGACAGCACTGCATAACATAAAGAAAAAAACTAAATTAAAAATGTGAACATAGGACAGTCTCCTTAGGGAAAACTGTACATGCGGTGCTGTAGGAATCACAGTGCAGTCTTCCTCTATACTTGCTAGTTGATGGCTCATAAGATGCACCTTTGAGCTATTTCAGAAAACTGCTTGATCACTGGTTGATCTATGTAATGCTACACACATTTCCTTTCATTAGAGAAAGTTAAGATTCACCTGTGAGCAATTTACCAATTTAGGACAGATTTAGAAAAACGTCTAATGGAAATGTATTGAAATATTCTTGTCATATTATTAAACCTTGTTCAACCATTTTGCATATAAAAACTTATGACTGTGGCTCAGGTGGTACAGCTGGTTGTCCTCTGATCATAAGGTTGGCAGTTTGATCCCCGGCCCCTCCACAGTCGAAGTGTCCTTGGGCAAGACACTGAACCCGAAGTTGCTCCCAATGGCAGTCTAGCACCTTGTATGGCAGCTCTGTCGCTATTGGTGTATGAATGTGTGTGTAAATGGGTGAATGAGAAAACATTGTAAAGCACTTTGAGTGCCACAAAGGTAGAAAAGCACTATATAAGTGCAGACCATTTACCATTTTATGCGATGAACTAATGCCTAAATGTTGTGGGAGGTGAGACTATTCAACAGAGACCCATTATACTACATTTTGATCAACAAGACATAAGCAGTTGTTAATGTAGGAAACAGCAGAGAATTGTACATAATCATTTGCATGGATGAAGCAAAGTATTTAGAACTTGTTCACAGAAATGAGAAAGTGTGTTTTTTGATGTGCACAAGTGACACAATGATGTGAAGATTGAACAAGTAGTTTGGAGAATTTCAATTCTGATCTGAGAAATGTACCAAAGCGACTGAAAAAAACTGTAAACTAAGTTCTTGCTGCTCCTCTTAAATCAGAAGCTGAATAAATCCTGGCAATCTGAATAATCATACATTAATATACTACCATCACACAGTCTCTTGGATCTCCAAAGATGGTATCTTCAGCAATGGTTTGTATCGCGCCCTACAGACATTAGCTTCTGCAGGTTTTTATAGGCCAATTAAAAA